TTTTATTTTATATTTCAAATGCTTAGAAAGAAAATTAAACAAATTAATGACACTGTTAGAATAAAAAAAAGGGGAAGAAAAAAAAATCTATGTAGACCTTTTTTCTATGAGTCGTGTGTTTTACACGTGTAGACAAAACGTTAATATAATGCACAGGTGAAAGATATGGATAAAGATGACATCATTTTGTCCATTGAATATCTAATTCTAGCTGCTTCACGTCCTTAGGCGGCTGACCTTGGTCTTATCCTCTAACTTTTATATTTATAATTAAAATGGTACGGATGCATTCAAACCAAGCTGACATTTAGGTATAAATAAGTTTTGTTAATTCAGGAATAAATCATAACTTTTTGCGATTGCAAAACCCTGTTTAAACTTTATATTTAATACCAGTGTATAACAGCCTGGAATTTGGCATTTCTAGAGGAAGAAAGGTAAGTCCAAAGCCATACCTTTCGGGGGCGGTTAGGTGAGATGAACCAATAAAGCTTGAGCGTAGCATTCGAGTCTTTGAACTACACATCCAAAATAGTGTGCAGAGATTTGGGGGTATACCGAAATTGATTATGCATGTTTATGATTTAAATTATAGAACTAGTTGCTTAATCATAACTTACTTAAGCAATAAGACGCGGGATAGTGAAAATTTAAACCCTTTTTTGTCATAAAAATCTCATCGAAAGCTTAAGGTGGTGGTTAAGATAAGATAGATGATATGGGGCGGTGAGCATTTACGTTGTGATCACCATTCGCAGGCCATTTGGTAGAGCATAACAGAGCATGAATTTGAAGACAGAGAGTTGAGGACAAAAAGTGTTTTGAAATTGAGAGAGGGTTTTGATTGAGGAGCAGTGTGGTCCCTGTTGGGAGTAATGCGACAAGAGAGTGGTTCTTCTGCAATGGCACCAACTCTTCTGAAGTCAAATCTACTGCCCCATTGAGTACAAACACACAACCGAAAGTGAAGCCTTCTTGCCCATAGCACCTCTTTCTACGAAAATTACTCAACACACTTGTCTCCCATTTCATTATGCCTTGAGTTAGACAAAAAATAATATTAAACAGTCACCTAGTATATTTAATTGCAAGATTTATTAATAAACTTCATAAAAATTAAACTTTAAAAATATTGTAATAAAACGAGTAAAAATGTTTCTTTTCCTTTAATGTGACTGTGTAATATATTCATTAACATGAAAGTATTCCAATTCAACACTAATCAATATTTTAAATGTATTAATTAATTTTTTTAATGACACTGTACTCTTTTTCTAATTTTTAACCTATTTCTAATACGATTTTGATTTTTTTTATTTTTAAAAATTTTAAGTAATATTTAGTAGAATCCAAAAGAAAAATTGTTAACATTAGGTATTCAGATTGATTTTAGGCAATTAAAAATAATAAATTTTATCATTATAAAAATTTAATTTTATAAATACATTATTTATAAATTTTCAAATTAAATTTAAAAAATAATGTTAGTAAAATAATTATGCGGTAGAAATGAAATAAATTAAAATTCGGACAATATTACTATGAAGTTTTTATTCCTTTTAAAATGAGAAATTTGATTTATTAAAAAGATTGAAAATTTTTAAGCATTTAAAAAACTAGTTAAAACTTAAATTAATATTTAAATACATAAATATGCGTATGGATTTAGTTGTAATTTAAACTATTAATTTTTTAATAAGTAATTATAATTTTTTTATTTTATTTTCTGAAGTAGATTTTGCACGTAAGAAAAATAAAAGCTTTAATCTAATAATTTATTTTCAGTAATGACGTCTCACTACAATATCTTATCGTGTTATAAAAAAAATAAATAAAAAAATTAAATAATTATTTTATCAATTAAGAAGGTTAATAAAAAAAATATTATAAAAAAACAAATCTGTTCACCTCATAATTAATTTTAGCATAATAAATATTGCATAATTAAATATTTGTTTAATTTTGTTAACTAAATAAAAAAAAATCAATCTTACAGTTAAACTGAATCATCTAAATGAGCCAAACCTAAATTTAGGAAGATGATTTCATATGTTTGTTGCAAATATTTGTTTCTCTTGTAAAATTCATGCTGAACTCAATGCAATTTACATTGGTCTTAAAATGACTTGGGATGATGCACATACCAATTTTTGTCTGTTATTCAAAGTGTTTGGATTTTATTGATATCATTTGTGAGACTTGTTGTCTATCATAAACATGGGGTTGATATTGGCTGCATAAAGAAGAGCTTCTTAACATCCGTGTATTGTCAAGTTATTTTAAGGCACACTTTTTTGTTTGCTCTGATAATCTTAGAAAGATCGATACTTTTTAATCTGAGCATGTTCTTCTTTTAGATAATCTTCCTCCCTAAGTTCAATCTTATTTTAATGAGGTTTTATTTTTTAGGCCATAACCTATTTTAGACGTTCTCTCGTAACAAAAGAAAACAAAAATTATAAACTTAGCATTATAAGCTCGTGAATAAATTGAATGTATAGATGTTTTATTATATTTACTTCAAAGAAACATTTTTTTTTAGTTAATCAAAGTTTTCACTTTATTTTTAAATTGTACTAACTTAGATCTTGTTTGAATAAATTTGTTGAACATTTTGTATAAAAAATTAGTATAAAAATTAAATAAAACTTCTCTCTGAAGTTTTCTTATTTTAATTTTTTAAAATTTAATAAATAATTTTTTTAATTTATAAGAATAATCCACAAATTCACCTTTCATCAATGTTTTTACCTAAAATTTATAAATTCTGATATTTATTTTAAAATATTTACAATTTAATTTATTATAATATCTTATATTCCAATTTAATCATCCAAAATTCATTAAAAATATATATATAAAAAAATTACTTTATACGTAACTCAAATTAAAATATATATATTAAGCCTTTAAATAAATAAGTTAAATCCAGGAAATGTTAATAATACTCTTATAAATATATTTTTTATGATTAGAGGATTTTGTAAAGTCAAAGTAATTATTATAAAGAGATAAAATTAAAAAATAAAATTTATTTTTTAAAAATTAACTAATTAAAAAACACACGTCAACAAATTAATTGAATAAAAGTAAGAAGTGTGTTTAAAAAGTGCGTGGACGTCACGCGGCGAACTATGCAGAAGCACACGTGCGGAGATTGGGGACAGCAAAGCTAGCTGTATCCAGACTTTCAAACAGCGCCTCGTCAGCTTATTGGGACTTGAACTCTTTAACTTTAACTCTTCACAAAAATTGACAAGAAAATTTACAGCTACAAAACATGTTTCTTAAATTGAGGAAGATAATGGATATTTACCGTCCATTAAAGTACAAATTTAGATGCAGAATTTAAATATTTTCACATTGTTTTTTTTTATATTATAAGTAACACTAAAAATATTTAAAATATTACATCTTAAGATTTTTCAATTAAATTATTATTTTTTATATAATAAATATAGGCACAAAAGTGGAATAAGTTACAGGAGCACACGAGTCTGGTTAAATAATTTTGTTTTTTTTAACATATATTAAAAATTAAAATAAGTTATTTATATCATTTATTTAATAAACGTCCACGTAATAATAATAAGTGGACCTGTATTCAAGATAGAGAGACTTTTGCACAGCTGGAGCTGGTTACACGAATGGTCCCACGGGTGCTTACTTTCATAAAAAATAACGCGTCAAAACATTTTCCAGTTCTCAGATCATCTTGTTCCACCTTCGTGACCCAAGCTATGATATATATTAAGCGCTTTTATATCCGCACATCACATGAATAATTCAAAATCAAGTGTAAAAGTGAGATAGTCAATGAAACGATAGTGGTAGTGCAAAATATTAATATAAATAATAATTTTTATATTATGATGTATAATTTAACGTAATTTTATTGTGTTTACAGACGCATTAAGCAAAGGAGAAACAAATTGAAGCTGAGAAATGTTACAAGAAAACAAAAAGTATTCGAACAAAAGCTGATAAAGAAAACTAAAAGTGAACCACTCATAAAACAGATAGACGAGACAATATGAAACGCCTATCGTAGAAGACCAGCGAAGGACGTTGAAGGATAACGTTACCCGTGGTTGGTTGTATGTATTTTGCACACGTAAAACACAAACTAGTGAATGGCTTGTTCTTTTCAATAACCAAATTTTTGTGTACTAAGAAATAGTATTTTTATTTTTACTAGAAGAAGGCGAGGTCATCTAAAACAAGGTGCGGAGAATTAATTAAGCATCGCAGGGCATTTTTTCTATGGGAGCTGTCACCTGGCCAAGCGTAGATTCGAAGCTGAGGAGAGGGCAGAATAGAGGAAAACTTCCAAAAACCCGTGAAGCTAGCTGTGGATGTGGAAAGTGTCGTCACTTCACAAAAAGATCATTCATTGTCATGTTTCTCTTACCCCCAAAAGCCCACTTCATTCATTAGGAATACTAGTATTTCCACTCAGCTACGTTCAATTTTCCTGCTGCTCCCTTCTTCGTCTCACTATTAATTTATTGTTTAATTATAACTTTAGTTATTAGCATAATATACATATTTCACCCACTAATTACTTACATTAATCCGTGAACAATGACATTGACAAGAATCTTTTATATTGTCCTGTCCAAACTCATAGCAGCACTGGTCCCAACTTTTAAGAGATGGCCCAAACAGAATTAAAAGAAATTAGCTTAGCAGTTCCAAGTCCATTCCTTACGTTGGAAATGGATTATCTACATGTCTCCTTCGCCATAACTGATTTTCGGGCAGGATTCCCACACCCCATCACTAATCATTGGCAACGCCTACACAATATTTTCACCATTTGAAATTTAAAAATTACATCATTTCTTACCCTAAAAAATATCGTTCTTCCTTATTCATGTTTACTTACAATTTTTACAATAAAGTGAACATTTCCTATTAACTAGGTACATACACTGCACAAGAAACACAAGTCTAAGGCCCCATAAGCCAGGGAAGGAATCCAGCGAGTGCAGCTTACGCTAGTTTTTGTCGCGATTGAGTTTATCCCAAAGCGACGCGCACTGCCTCCTGGCGAAACCCACGCGCTTCTCTTCCAGGTCATACACAACTTCAAATCCCTGCTGCTGGTAATTCCCAAGAGTGGCCCCGGGCCCACCGCTCAACTCAGCCTCATCTCCACCGTTCATCAGCATCAAACAGCCCACTCTCCGCTTCCTTCTCGTTCCATCACCACCGTCCAAAAACTCGTAAAAAAAGTTTTTCCTAGGCAGCACCACACTGGAATTTCCTCCCGCGAAACGCAGCGTCACCGCCGGCACTTTCACCATCGCGTTCAAATAATAGCACGGCGCGAGTCCCGTTTTCTCCTCAACTCGACGCGCCCGCTCGTTCTCTCGCCCGACTCGGCCGTCGAACTCAGCCACCACCGAGTCGTAAAACCCTGCTGGCAACATCGTGAACGTCGTGCCGGAATCCACCACCACGCCGCCGTCGCCTCTTCGGTTCACTCTCCTCAGCATTTCCGGCGCCGGTATTGTTCTTTTTCCCACGGAAATCCCATCGAGTCCAACACAGTAGAAATAAGGATGCTTCGGGTTTTCAAGCATAGGCGTGTACGCAAACTCAACCATTTCCCCACCATCACCATCCTTCTTTTCTTTATCATCATAACGGCCAAGAATAAGCGGACTCGGTCGGCGAACTCGTTCCGAGTCGAACGAGTGAGAAACCAAGCAATAAGAGAACCGGTTTCCGAGCTGAGGAGCTTGAGTAGCAAGCTGGGCCGGGAAAGAGAGCAAGCCGCGACCGAAGCCGGCGACTCCAATGGGTTCGGCGAGGGTGGTGTGGGCGCAACCGAATGTGAAGTTTTTGAGAAACAGAGAAGAGAGGGAAAGTGTATCACGATAAAGACGAGCTATTAAGCTTCCATCACCATAGGCATAGTAAAACGGTGGACACGAGAAAGAAGCGCAATCGGAGGTTTCAATGGATTCGAGAGGGCAACGAGCCATTGCGCAGAGATCGGAGGAAGGGATCGAGTTGTGTGCTGCGGAGCATGCAGAGGACTTGCACGAAACGGCGATACTTTGGGATATGTTGGTGGGAGAAGAAAGAGAGAGGCTGGGTTTGCCTTCGCAGAGGATGCATTTGAAAGGGGCGCATGGGAACCAGACGAGGTCGCTGCCTGTGTCCATGTAGAGTGTAATGGGCTGGGCCTGGGCTTGGGGGCCCAGGTTGAAAGAGAGAGTGTAGTCGCTGCCTGGGGAGAGTGGGAGCGAGAGTTGGCGATGGTGCCGGAATCGGGCTGCTGAACGGGTGGAGGTGGATTTGAGGAGGTGGTGGGTACTGTTGAATTGGGCTTTGGAAAGAGAGTGAGTTAGTGGCAGAAGCACCATTTGGCATGATGGATGTGACATACAGAGGATCATGAGCATGAGCAACAGCAGTAACAGGGGAGAAGCCATTGTACACGAGGGTGGAGAGAAAAGAGGATTTTTCAAATTTGCAGGGATTGGAAAAAGAAAGAGTTTATAAAGTGACCGAGTGAGGGTACGAATCTCCAGTGGCTGATTTGGTACCCATGGCGGGCGCATATTGGGACAAGCTTAACAATATTACTTTTAAACTGTTCATTAAATTATCAACCCCACCTTTATTTTTAAAATTTAAATAATAGTAATATTAAAGATTTACTCTAATTTAATACTACTCCTAATTGTTTCTATTATTCAAAATCTGGGTTAAGATCATAATCGTTTTGAGTTAATAAACGTGTAAAAAATATAAACCTTCATCTATTAGTTACGGGTAGTGTTTGTGGAAGACATCACATTGATGGCTCATCAGAGAGTTTGCCTTCAAAACAGGGCCCCTTATTTCTTACTTTTTTTCTTAATACTTTTTTTTACCATTTTATAAAACATAACTTAAAATAAAGAATACATGTATTTATTATTCTAAACATATAATATACTGAATAATTTTTTATTTAACTGTTATTCATATTAAAAAAAAATCATCACGTCATTGGATAACTCTTTCCAATCAAGTCTAAGTTTTGTACCTTTTTAACGATTCTTTTATACTTTTGAAGAAGGTTTAAACTAAATCTTCCAAAATAAGGTTGTTAAAATCACTTAGATTGAGTTAACAACGAGGGACTTGAATAATTTACAGAGGAGTATATTTGAGAGTTGAATTTTGAAAAAAAGAAAGAAAGAAAGGAAAATAAATAATTATTTTTAAATTAAATAATTCATATAATGTTTAAAAATAAAATATTAATATATTAATTTTTTATAAAGAAAATATTATCTTTTAAATATTATCAATTTTTAAAAATTTATTTGTTTTCTCTCTTTCAAAACTCAACAATATAAAATTATAATTCTAAATTTTACTATTACCTTTATGAAGATAATTGTAGATAACAACTCAGGCTAAGACTCACCGATTCGTAGAACAAGCCCAAATTTACACAAGTGAAAGTGTAAAGTATAATTTGGCCTACCTAATTTTGATCCCAATAGCAAAATTTATCAACAAATTAAGAATCACGATGTACGACTCAAAGAACAAACAAAACATAATTAGTGTTAATAAATATGTTTTAAAACATATAAAAAAATTCTCTTATTTTGGACTTGAAAAACCCTAGAAATTATTATTTTTATGTCAATTTTTAAAAACATTTAAAAGAGAGTAAAAAAATATAACAAAATAATTAAAATTATAAAAAAATTCCTTTAATTGTCTTTTTTTAGCCAGATAATTGGTATAACAGGAACTGCTATTATATTCAAATAAAAAAATTAAAATTTAAGCTTAAATATATTTTTATGTAAAAAATAAGACATCATGTTGTGTTGCAAAACAGTATTTTTATTCAACTACTTTTTTTTTTTTATATCTATATTAAAGTTAATGGTAATTCATAAACCATATACTTCACAGTAATATATCATCTTTAAAAGTATTTTGTGAACATTCATTTAAATTAAAGTTGCCGGACGGTGGGCGCACGACAATCATGATTTTGGAGTGCCATTCTTCGGCCATTCTCTAAATTGTTTTTATTTGTTTATAGTAATCGATATTTTGAAGCAGAAGAAAGAAGCATCAAAAGCAAAATGTATCTTAAAATAAATAAATAAAAGAAACAAAATCATTGTTGTCTGCAGCGAAGGAGATAGAACTGAGACATTTTTAGCAAGAAAAATAAAAAGAAATATGCAGACTAATTGGCCAAAGAAAAAAAAAATCTTGTTCACTACTTTCTTAAAAGCAAACTTTTTTAAGATTCTAACTGTTAGTTGATCCAAACTGATTATTTCATGTTATTCTCTTCTTATTATGGCATAAAAACAACAAATTTATTTTTAAAAAAACTATTTCTTTCGTTTAAAATTGCAAATTAAGGCAAGTTATGTGCAAAGACTTTACAAGAACAAAGTGTTATTTGGTATAACAATTTTTATATATATAAGATTTTATGTATAATTTGTGAATACTAATTATTATACGAGAATACAGAAGTTTTTGCAGGATTAGTTTTTTTTTTATGTTATGCATTTATATTTTTAATTTCATATTGATTTAAATTTAAATTTTATTTAATATAATAAAATATGTATTATTTATAATTATATTTATTTTTTTGAATTATAAATTTATTGAATTTAAAAATAATGATATAATACACTCTTAATTATTTAAAACAAATTAATTTAATGATACTCATATAGTGCTAAAAAAATCACTAGTTATTATAAATACTCAATAATAATAGGAAATTGATAAAATAAAGAGAAAACCACAAAAAGGTGACAATTTATTTATCATTTATCTCTTCTATAGTATTTTACAAAAACAAAATTGTATCATTTAACATTTTTTATAAGAAAATTCTAATTTAATTTTAATAATTAAGTAAATAGTTGTGACAGTATATATCTGATGATCACCCACTATGCTGCTGAGGAAAAAATTTCTGGCATAAAACATTAATTAAAAGAAATTTTAGAATATGATCTTATTTATATATACTAATACTTTAAATTAGATTATTCACATATTATGTGTGTGTAATATAAATTAATTGTGTATTAATACAATGTTTTGTATAGTATATTATTCATTAATTCATATAAATAAAAATTATGCGTGTACTTTATTAGTTAATTTTTATATTTTAAAATTTATTTTATCATACAAGATATGTTACAGTTAGTTAAATTTAAAATAATAAGGTGCACACTTATTTATTTATATAAATTAATAAGTAATTTACTGTACTAAATAATACACAATTTCATTGCAAAAGAGGCAAATAATGGTTGCTAATTATTTTGGTTGTGCCCACTTTGAAGCTATTGGTGGGAGAGGGACCGTGTGGCACAGGTAAGTTGGTCTAGCAAGAAAAGAAAATGGATGTGGGATTTTCTTGCCAATATTCATTATGACTCGTTCCACTAAAGTTCAAGTGAATCTAATTGGGATGCTTTTCTTTGTTCATAATTTAAAACACTTACTGATATGGCCAACAATATGACAAAAGTGTGAGATTAATTGCATAGGAAAAACGAAGTCTTATATTGTCTATTGATTCTCTACCTAATGGATGGGACACCAATCCTACAAAGTAGTATGTACTGTCTGCTTCTGTATTTAGGTATTATATGATATTGCTTCCATGAGTTGTAGGCGGTGACCAGAAAGTATATCAAAACAAGAATGCTCATGCACCTAACTCGACAATTCATATGCAGGTTCATCAGATTTCACTAAATAATAAAGGTTAAAGGTTAAAATTACATTTTTTATTAAATATTTTGATTCAAATTAATAACTATTTTTTTCTTTAAAAAAGTTAATTCCCGACATTACCAACCAATTCTTATGTAGGCCAATCTTGGAAAGTCCAATTCATCCCCTCGTTTGTAAGTTTCCTAGTCATGCATACATTAAATTGTGTGGACCAAATCCTTTATGTGTTCTGGCTGTGTTCTTGTGTTTGCATATATATAAAAGTTATTAGACAAGATATAAGATGTCTTAACTACTAAATTTCAGATTATTGATAATCTATGTTCATGATTCTTATGTGAGACCAACCCGAAAATCCATTTCATCCATTTGGAAGTTCTTGAAGTCATACATACATTAAATTGTGTGGACCAAATCTTTCTTTGTATTGCTAGCTTCATTATTTTGTTTGCATATAAAATTATTAGGCATCATATAAGATGTTTTAACAACTAAATTTCAGATTATGATGGATCGTCTACGTTCCTAATTCTTTCACTTGTGAAATCTTGATAACTGTCATCCCTTTTTTTTAACATTTTCTGGTTACAATTTCTATTTTACTCCAAGAAAACTGCATTTTTTTAATTTGGAATTCATGATTATAAAATGCTTATTGAAGCTATCTTTCTTGTGAATTAAAAAAGTTGAGATAGTCGTCCAACTTGCAATCTTTTTGTGGGAATACTCGTGAGGTTTTGGTGCTTAAGGTTTTGCTGATTTTCATAGAAAAATATCTTCGTACATGTTCCAGTTCCACCAAAAAACACACGCATTGAATAGGGACCAAAATTCAAGCCCACCAATGTTGTCTATGGATCTTTTACTCTCAAGTACTAAATTCATTCATTGTTCTAAAAATAAACTCTCATTATTCTGATCTCATCATGCTTTACTCTTACAACATCTCTATTGACCACCTAAAAGAGAATTTTTTGGAGTCAGATTTATTGGAATTACATAACGAGTCTTCCCGATTCCCACCCCGAGAAAAGAAGATACAAAAATTTCATGCCCTTTTCTTATTGATGTGTGCAAGTTATCAACAATCTTCTATATAACCAAGTTCCCATGTGCCTGCAAAATTCAACAGCTTTATCTGTCCATGTTTTGTTTCCCAGGCATATGCTTAATAGAAGTCTCGTAATAACATTTAATTTGTTAAACAATTCCTATATTTCTACAGACTTTTTATTATATCTATCTTTCATTCTCTTTTTATTTTTATCTTTTTTTTCCCTCATCACATCATCTACTGTGTCTTTTATTTTAGCTTATTTTCTTTCTTCTATTTCTCTTCTCTTCCAACCAATTTAAGTCCAAACTTGCGTCTCAACGTATCATTTTTTCTTAAATAGTAATTCAAAATAAGGATTCGTGTAAGTTATATCTTATGATATAGATAATTCCATCATAGGCTAGTAAAATTTTGTCAATGAAAAGTTAAATAAAAGATTGATTCTATTTCTAATATAATATCTCAACTTCTTTTGCTCATTTAGTTAAGATTATTTATTTCATGGGATGAGTTAGAAAAACCCTTAAAATAAACATACTAGTAAGTTTATGTACATTGGATATCGTTGCTTGAAAACTCTTTATAAAAGCATTTACTTTGCAAATTCTAGACACAACTCTAAGAACAATCGATAATTTCACATCTAAAATTACTTAAAGAAGTGATGGTAATTTATCTGTGGTGTGCTTTCACAGCCATATAAATTGCATTGCTAGGCTCCTTAGCCCCACATATCAACGTCAGCTGCAAGATATCCAATACTTTTTTCCACTGTCTTTTTCCCAAATGCCATAGATTTCATTCACTATGCTGTCTCTTGGAATGTCTACGTAGTTTTCCTACCAGCTAGAATTACGCTGTGCAAAATAATTTTTAACTCAATCATTGTTTTCTTTACTAAAGGGAACTACTGTATTATATAATAGAGGCGAAAAAGTTAAACAAGTTAACATCAATGGACATCCCATATTTTAAATTCGCATTCGTAAAATCTGAACAGTAATTATTGTCCATTGATTTAATTTATTTAGAATAAATAATCGCTTATTTTTAGAACCCTTTTTAAAAAAAATACAATATTATTTTTTCAAATAATCATTACTAAACATGCTATATCACAACTAGAAGTTGTAAACTTAAGCAAGCAGTAGTCAAAAGGATGAAGAGTTGACGTGAGTGCATAAAATCTGTTAAAAATAAGAGATTGAAACAACCGGATGGTCATGCTTAAGGGTAACAACTGACTTAAAGTTGAATCAGCAAATTTATTGATGCTACATTCTTGACCAAGTTTATGTTGATGCAATTTATTCATTTTTAGCAGTCCAAGTTTCAGTAGCATATTAGCCAGAAAAAATCTAATTAAAAGAAATCCCAATGTAATTGGTTCCATAAAGATATGTCAACCAATATCTATAAACTATTCTTCTTGTGCTTGAACCTGTAAAATGGTATGCAAGTGAATTTGACAACATGCAATCGAGCTCAGAATTTTTTTTCCAAAGTGATATAAGAACATGTTAGGCTTAACCATAGTAAATCCGAATGCAGTCATGGAAGATATTGGGAATAGGAAGTCCACGTGCATCAGCATAGTGCGGTTGGTACCAGCGACATTTTAACCTTCATGTTAGTGCTTGATTGGCTTAGATTTTGATCCTTCTACGTTGTTAAGTACATGGTACCAATGTGCGATTATTGATTATTATTTGATTCAATCGAATTTCACAAGAAAAATAAAGTAGCCTTAGTGATATATAATAAGGCTTCCTCTGGACTATAAAAAGATATAAAATGATGAGAAGTGAAATAGATTAGTATTAGTTATTATTGTTTAAAATGCTCAAAACAATGTAGAACGGGAGCAAGCCATTCTATCTTATATTTCTATTTTTTTTACCAGTTTGAGAAAAATAGAATAGAATCGCTTATTCTTTTGTTGATTTGATGATTATAAAATTATTTTCCCTTCTTTGCCATAACATACGTTCTCTTAAACTAGCAGTCACCACAGCACTTCATTCAGATTATCAACCTGACATGGAACCAAAGCCATTCTACCACCACGTTTAATGAACAAAAAATCAACCTAAAAATATGGTAATTACTAGTTTGTTCTATCAGCAATATCAAATATATATTTATAATTCATATCTAATTACAATTTTAACTTATCAACTTCTTAGCACTTTTCTTTCTCTACAATTATAATGTATATTATTCGTTTATCAATCTAATAAATAAATATAATTATTACAATATTACTATAAAGTTATAATATTAAAAAACTAAAATAATATTTCAAAATATTTATCTATAGCATAAAAATTTAAAATTTTGATAAATTATTAATAAAACATTTCATTAAATCAATATTAAAATAATATTTTATTAAATAATATTTAAATAATAGAGTAATATTTGAACTCTATTAAAATTTATTTTATTTTACATTATCCTCACTAGATGTTTACTAGATATCCAAAAGAGGCTACTTCCTTTTATAGGTGTGGAATAGGGTGAAACCTGGTTCTAACTTCAAACTGTTTGTGGGGTTGAGGAGTCACACCCCAGTTGAGAACCGTTGTCCATTAGGGATGATGATATCATGGACATTATGTCTTCAGTGACTGGTTTTCACAAAGAAATTGCCAAGGTCTTGCATTAGCTAGTAAGAACATGAATCGATACTGAACAATTTCAAAGACAAGTATATGCTTATTATGGACCAGAAAATAGGATAGGCTAATAAACAGGACAGTTTGAATTTGGTGATAGCAATTGCAGTGAAAAATAGAATATTTGAGAAATCTAATAGTACATATTTGACTCCAAACAAAAACTTGATCAGCATTGCGTTAATTTTTTTTTTATACAAACTAAGTGTTGAATTTTTAGAAATAAATATGTCGTTTAATATCCTAAAATTTGGATTTGTTTACTTTTTTCATCTCTCAGATTCATCTCTTTTCCATTTATACTCTGTATTTATTTATTTATTTCAGAGACAAAACACACTTGTTCAAATATTTACTATTAACTCTGGACCCAAAAAAAATTACAATTAGACTTCTCAATTCAGATTAAATATTATAATTTTTTTAAACGTGTATCTAAAGTATATATTAAAAGAATCGTATAATTTAATTGATCTCAAGAACAGAACAATTACCTTACTTGACAAGTACATAAGTGTCGTTAAACATTCAAAATAAAATGTTTAGCATTGTTAAGGTTTAAGGATACATACATTTTTCTTTTTCCTTCTCCACCATGTCATTGAAGCTGTGTCTTGGTCTTCCATGATTTCTCTGCTCCCCAAAACCCTAACCCTCATTCGTTTCCTTCACAGACCAACGCGAACACACCCTACTAAACTAACCGCCATTCGAACCATGAGCTCCACCTCCACGCAGCGCATCTTCCAGCTCAAGCTCGACCCACTAACAGGTAAATCCGAATGGGTCATCATCGAAGACAATGACGACAACGACCAAACCTTTGCACATAGTTTCCCTCAACCCCTTCTCGCCACGACGTCGTATTTGGACATGCTCAACGACTCCGCTAGAAACACAGCATTTCGTCAAGCCATTGAAAAAACCATCACCAAACCATGCCACGTTCTTGATATCGGGTACTCTAAAATCATAAGTTTTAAAGTCGCTTCTTAATCTGATTTTAGTGACTTAGGTGTCACGATTTTGCAGTGCTGGAACTGGATTGCTTTCTATGATGGCTGCGAGAGCCATGGGTGACGAAGGGAAGGTCACGGCGTGTGAGTCTTACCTTCCGATGGTGAAGTTGATGAAGAAGGTGTTGCGTCTTAACGCCATGGAAGGAAGGGTCAAAGTCATCAACAAGCGTTCTGATGAACTCGAAGTTGGTATTGATATCTCTTCACGTGCCCATGTTCTGGTAAGTGATATTCCTCTCATTTCAACATTATCATCTTCAATTTCATCACAATGAAAGTGTGTAATTGTAGAGTTGTAGTTCCTCTGTCATCACATTTAATTGTTAATTTTACTAATGCATTAGTCACTCTAAGAGCTGAAGTTAGAGCTAAATTAGCTTCAAGCGAAACCTCGTGCCTTCAATATTATTATTCTTCCTTCAAACAACGGAAAATTGTGAATGTGATAATTATTGCAGGTAAGCGAGATATTAGATTCAGAACTACTGGGTGAGGGGCTTATACCGACCCTACAACATGCACATGACAATTTGTTGGTGGAAAACCCTCTGACTGTCCCATATCGAGCAATCACATATGGGCAGGTATTTATCCAGATGACCTGCTACATTATTCTTTGTTGTTTCTCGTCAATTTTTAGGGGTTTTAATGTGTTTTTATGATGATATTGCATATGCTTTTATCCTTAACATAAAGATCTTTTCATTGTATTTTTCTCCCTTTCTTTTGTGTTTTGAGTCTCACACAAGTTTGTGCCTTTTTCCTCATATCCTTTCTTTAGCTCGTTGAAAGCACATATCTGTGGCAGCTGCATGATTTGCATGACAATGAGGCTAATGCATCTGATGGAATTCGTCTTACCCCTGTGGGACTTGATAGTGTTTTAAGTGTCAAACGTCAGCAGTATGCTATGCATTGCGATCCTATTAGAGAAGAATTAAAACTGGTATGTTTAATGAGAACTCTGTAAGTCATTTTGTTGAAATTTATTTGTAGGTTTCCTACTCAAATTAAGATCCTCCAGCTTTCAGAACCCTTCAAAATTTTTGAATTTGATTTTTGGAAACGGCCAGAGAGTTATGGAGAAACTGAGCTGCTCGTAAGGGCAACTAATAATGGTAGAGTTCATGCCGTGGTTTCTTGGTAATCATATATATATATATTTTAATACTACTATAATTGCATTACCAGAGCATTTTATTTCCTTTGTGTTTACCACAGTCTTGTGTTGGCTTCAGGTGGGTACTTCAACTTGATCGTGAAGGGACCATCTATTATTCCACTGCTCCCAGGTGGATAAGCTCACCAACAATTACAAGTGAGAGTTTGTCTTGATTTAATCTGTTAGTCAGGGTGTACTGATTTCAGTTTAATGCATTCTATTCTTTTGATAAATTGCCTTGATGCTGTTTGGAAGTTAAGTTGTGAAATATGAATTATATTAAAATAAATCATAGCATGTTTTATGAATATTAATAATATTAATTGGTAATTATTTATAATCTTCATTAATGATGTTGCACTGATGCTACACCAGGTTGTGTTGATTGGTGTGACCACTGGAAACAGTGTGTTTGGTTTGTTCCAGGCAGTGGTATTTCCATAATCAAAGGGGATGAAATTCATTTGCATGCTACTCATACTGAAACTAGTATCTCATATAATTTAGATACTCGAGGGCCGACAACTGAGATTTTGCAGCATAGGTTGACAGCTGAAGTTTTGCAGCTTGAGCTGACACCAGAAAGGGCTTCAATCTATGGAGACAAAGAATGGAGGCTTTCAATGTCAAAGGCAGTTCAAAGTGTGGTAAGCTATCCTCCCTTCATTCTCATGGCATATCCTATGACCTTTCACTTGTATATGGAACAAATTATGAAGAAACACCTTTTTGCTCTTATTTCATCATTCAGTTAATCTATTCTACTTGTTTACAAGAACTAATAATGTTTACAGTTGCAGGGAAGAGGTCACACACTATGTTTGGTTGCAGATGATAGTGTGTTTTTACCTCTTCTTGTGGCACGGCTTTCAGAGGCACCACATGTAATGTCATTACTTCCAGGGCTGAAAGAAAGTGGCCTCCAATATTTGCACACTGCCACCAATGCAAATGGTTTATCACCTAATTGCATAGAAGTTTTAGAAAAAAGGGTGAAACAGTTATCCATGCATGATACACATCAGAAAAAGGTTGAATTTTCCTGATTCCACTTACTTCGTGGCTTTACTGTTTATGTACATGTATCCAATTAGAAACCTATAGCTTAGATTACTTTGCTTATGTCTATGAACCATAAATGCAAATGTAAATGACTATGCACATGAATGGAGAGGCCTGGAATTTATAGAATTGAACTGATTGTCAAAGCAAATATGTTGTTACTTTCTTACCTATGTTTTCATTGTGGAACTTTATTGCTTTATTGAACTTGTAAAGACTTGTTCACTTTTCTAAAATAATAGTTATGTTTAAATTTTATCTACTAGTGTATATTTAATTATTTCATATAAACAATATTTAATTCTGTTTCTTCCCAGTAATAAACCTGATGTTGATTGGACTATTATTTTCTTTTTTTATTTAGGGATTTTTGGTTGGGATTATATGTTGTTATTTATAAATTTTATTCTATTTTGGACTATCATGTTCCTGCTTAGAATATGAAATAACTTATTAGGGTGTTTGGCTGTGTCTGGTCTAGAAATAGATCTTTACTGCAAACATATAAGGCATTTTTTTATTAATATATGGTATTGAATTTCCTTTTAGAGACTCTCGTGTTTGATATTTGAATCGGAGAGGCACTCCAGCCTAAAGGATTACTCTAGATTTTTCAAGGGTACCCTGTAAAGAGAAGTACTCATGGGTTGTCTCACATTAAAACCTTTCCTCTTTTTTAGTATTATATCTACTTAGAATACATTCAGAGAAGTTATTTTGTTAAAAAGTATGTTGGATTCAGTTGTAAATAATATCTATGGTGTATATGTGGCATTAATTTATTTTCCTTAAATATGCAAGTCATTTCTCACTTTTTAAGTTGCTTTAAATATCTATGCTTATGTATTTCATCTGTAGGTTGATCTGTTAATTGCAGAACCTTTCTATGTAGGACATGAAGGTGTGCTTCCGTGGCAGAACCTGCGGTTTTGGTATAATTATTAGTAGCTATTCTAGCAATGATCAACTTGATTTTCTATGTCACATCAGTTGTGCTTTAATACTTATGAAGTACCTATGATATATAATTTTATTTTGGCACGTTTCTTGAGTTTCTTTTACTCATTTTAGGAAGGATCGCACAACACTTGATTGTATCCTCTCTGAAGATGCTCTGATAATTCCTAGTAAAGGAATATTGAGAGCTTGTGCTGTCTCTCTTCCTGTAAGTTAAGCACTTAGACTCTGAACTATGAAAAAAAACTCATTTTTTTGTAGCTTGGGAAAGCATTTCTTTTTTGTACATATATTTTGTGCTGTTAGTGGGGCTGTATATGTGGATTAATGGGAAAGATAAATTGCAGGATCTTTGGAAAAGTCGTTGTTGCTTGAGTGAGATTGAAGGTTTTGACCATTCGGTGGTAAATGCTACATTGGGGGCTTGCGGTCATCTATCTGAATTAGAAGAGGGTCCTTGTCTCCCTTTTTTTGTTTGGCAGTGTGGAGAATTTGATGTAATTAATCTACTTACTATTCACATATTACTATAAGCCAGTTCCCTAAGTGAAGAAGAAAGAAATTTCCATTTATTGAATAACAACAGGGCACTAGTATCAATCTCATTGTATAATTTCAGGTGCTTAGTGAGACATTTGATGTGATGGAGTTTGATTTCTCAAAACAAATATGCCAATGTCAAGGAAAATCCCAGGTATTATAATACATCATCGTGTAAGTTTTGGATGCATTTGCATGATCAGCAGGTTTGGTACATAGTGTAGTCAAGGAATGATTATAATGACTATATTGTGCACAACAGGTTGTCTCTGGTGTAGCATACTAACTGAATTGATTTATTATTAACTATCAAAGAGCCGCATCACATAGGAAAAACTTGACCTAACTATTAACCAATTATTAACAGAAGATTGCATAAGCAATTTTCTTTCATTATATCTGCTTTTATATCTTACAGAACAGTAATTTGCAAATGCAATTTCCTTCCTAGAATGTTATATTACGTGAGTATTCAGTTTTTTGAAGAACTGAACTAATACATAACTGCTATAGATGCATGATACTTTATATAACAGTTTTACATAATGAATAATGAAGTGTGTTGCAGGTTAAATTCACCAAGACTGGGTTATGTCACGGGTTTGTGCTATGGGTTGACTGGGTGATGGATTTGCAAAATTCTGTTGTGATATCGACTGGTCCAGGTCACTCTCAATTCCTCTTCCCAATATTAACTATAAACCTCTGAAGCCCCACTCAACCATCCAACACTTGTGGTAGACCAAATGGTGCTCCCATAAACAAAATTATAGATGAAATAATAAATCAAGACCTAAGACGTAAAACTCATGTATCTTATAAAGGATCAAGGACAATACTAGAGCTATTGCTTATTCTTTCCTTTTTAAGATTGCAGATAAGAGATATTGGAAGCAGGGAGTAAAGCTTCTTGGAACTCCTAGAACAGTAGGACCTCAAAGATCAAGAAATGTCCAAGAATGTTGTTCTGCATTTCTCGAAGCATCTTTTAATCCATTGGAGGGGGAACTCAAGATTATACTTGATTTCTTATGAAACTATTCCCTCTAGCTGTGGTGTAATCTTCAGTGGCAGACAAAATAGATGGTCGGCTAACATTTGTTGAGATTTTTTTGTTGTCCTCATCACTTGCATGCATAGTGGATTCTGTTCTTTTCAGTGGAACTGATTTCACTGACTACTTATCACAGGAGCAATGCTGATCCTGTACCCATTTGCTGCTATAATCAGATCTGTTGCGATTTTGTGAATTTTACATAGGATTGGTTCTAACTATCGAGGACAGGCTGATAATCTTATAGAACACCGGTCGTAATACTGCAGGAAATAACAAGGCAAGACAATATTTTCATCAAAAAGCAACTAAATCCCAAGAAATAGTCACATAAACAAAGAATATAAAAACTAACATACCATCTTTATTTCAATAAGTGAGCTTGCCTATAAATTATACGATTTCATTGAGTTCAGTTAAAAATTAATTTTTTTTAAAATATTTACTACTAATATGATGTTATTGAATTTGATAAAAATTAATTTTTTATAAATATTTGTTACTAATTTCTTTATTATTTGTCTCTGAAATATAAAAACAAGAAAATAAAATTGTTTTAAGTGTTTGATACGAAAAAATATAGTTTAGAAATATAACTTGAACATAATTCATGAGAACGTTTTCGCAAGCACAGCGCAAGTTATGGTAGAAGTGGAAAATATTAAAATCAAGTTCCGCTGTTAGACATATCATGGGCCAATTGAAGATATTATGTTGTGTGGATGTCACTGTGCTGTTAAGAACCAAATAATGTATGACCCAAAAAAGAAAAAAACAAACCAAATCATTTCAATGGCTTTTCTTGTCGGGGGTTTAATTATTATTGTCGCCTTAGCACTATTAATATCATAACCTTTTATTTTGTATAGTCCAGAATAATATACTTATTTAATTAATCATTTAAAATGTATTAAAATGGTCAGACTCAGTCCAATCATAAAGCCTTAGATTGGAAAATAAAATTGTTTGCACGATAAATGGCCCATTTTCACAACACTCAATTCAATTCTCCATTTCTATCTTGATCCTTGAGAGTTGAGAGGAGCCAAGAGAAAGTATGGCTCCTCATTCGCCAACATATTTTTTAAAAGTTATTAAAACTCACAAAATCAAGCATGGTACTTGTTAAATAAATTATCTTTGGATCTTTTTGTAATAACTTATTAAAATATTGCTTTAGTTCTTCATTTATGATATCCTTCAAATTCTCTATTACATTGATTTTTTTATAAAAAATTATTAATTAAATGTGATAAGTTAATTTTTTTATCTTCTATCTCTCATGAATATGGAGAAAGATAACTAATTATAATTACTTCTCTCAGTCACATTGATTATTTATATGAAAAGAAATTAAGGGTAATTTAAAAAGCATAAAATATAAATAATTCATAAATTTAATATCACTACTTAAAATAATTAAATTCTTATGAAGTGCTAAAGGAGTCTTTCACATTATTTTGTTATTTCTTGTAAACTTCAGCTAATATTAGAGAAAATATTGAACAGTGTGTTATCAAGTATTTTGAGAGCTAAACGTGTCTATCCGTTGGATAAAAATTAAAAAACATATCTTTCAAGGTGGTCCTTTGAGGTTTCCACCATCATAAAAATAATGAAAACAACAAATAGGCCGCGGTGGAGTGGAAAAGCGAAATCACGATCACACACTAGTATTCTTTTGAAAAAGCATTATTATTAATATAATTAATTTATTAGAAGTTCCCAAAGCCTTCATTTGTGGGATTTCCATGTTCCGTCAACGATTTGATCACCATAATTGTTGTTCTTGAAAGCCTCTGACCAAAAGGATAAGCCCTCTTCACCTTAACCTTAAACCCCACTCCACTTGGGTCTAAAAGATCTTTGTTTGCTATTTGATTGCTCTAAATGGGGTTACATATGGTGGCTCTGGCTAAACTCCACTTTCAACTTACGAGCCACGGTTTAAGACCCGCGGCGGTTGGAATCGCTTCTCCAATCGTGCTTAAGTTGTTGTTTGGTTTCAGGGTTTTCAGAGATGATGCTCTTTACCAATCAAGATTGTTCCTTTTCCAATTGGGTCACATAGCTTTCAATAGGGAAACCCAAGTTTCCTATTTAGAAAGAATGCAAAGAGCTCTTCGATTAATCTGGAGAATATTCAACCCCGTCACTCAATCATCCTCGGAGGACTCGCAAATTGGACACCACCACACCTTCCATGAACTTTCAATGCTTGCACTTTAAGTTATTCATCATCACACTTTGCTTTCCAGTTAGTGCTTTCTCTTTATTCCCTTCCTTGATCCTTCACCTTCTTCTATCTTATTACCATGTAGTACTACTACTATTTCAATGTCTGAAATCCATGTTTTCTCGGCTTGATTCTGTGAATTATGATATTTTTCATGAAATTTTGGCCTTATGTCTGTGTAATTAATTATATACAGCGCTAATTCAATTCGATTTCTGTTGTCATGACAAGCTTTGTTGGATGAAGAGGTAAAGTATTAATGATGAAATAGCCTCAGATCTCAGTTTATTTTAATGTGTTTGATTTTGTCGATGCCCTTGTCTGATTGTCGAAATAAAAGTTGTAAATTTATGTAATTTTAGCCGTATTTAATAATTAATATACATATTGAATTAAAATGGGACGTAAATATACTGTAATTTTATTTATATATTTTTTGTGGGGATGGGGGGTTGGCTGCTACTGCTAGTCCCAGACTATCAGACAGCAACATGCACTTCAGAAATATAAATTGATAAGCATTTCAATTTCTTTTAAGTTTTATTTATTTATTTAGGAAGCAGCTATCAAAATTTTTACTTCAGAATGAATTAATTAATGTTTAAACTTAGAAAAAGTATTTTTATGATACACTTTTTTTTTCTTTCAGGAAGTTGTTGTTTCTAACTTCTGAAAATAAATTAATATTATTATAAATTTTAAAATATATTTTTTATTCAGTGGCCCCCTAAGTGTTGGATTATATTATTTTGAATAAAAAATTAAAGTTTTTGAGAGACCTCTTAAAAACATTATAATTTTTTTGGGTCAAAATTTGGGTTAAGGACCTAAAGAAGTAATTCAACCAACATAATACATATTTAAGAACTTTAAGTACATATTTTCTATCATTTAAAGACTAATTTTAAAGTTAGGATGTCTGCAATGCTTTTAACAACCTTTTGGACATGAATACTTCAACACTTTTTATCGGACACCAAAGTTTAAAGAAAAAAAAGTATCTTTTCTTTATTATTGTTTATTTCTAATTAGAAAGGAATTTGTACGCTTGATTGAAAGTTTTGTATCCAACATTTTAGATGGTGGCTTACACTAGGTCATGATAAATTTTAATGATTTATTTGTAGAAAATAGATGTATCAACCTAATTACACTTCACCTGGGTAATGTTGCATAAATTGAAAGAAAAAAAAAAAAGGGTATGGACTTTAATTTATATTTAAGGAATACCGAAGGCAAGTGGTTGGTTATTTTTGTCTCTAGATATTATTAGACCATAAATTAGCACATAAATCGTCCATTTGATGTCATAGGATGTGATTTTCTTTAAATCTCAACTTTCACTGCCGTTTTGCATAAGGCTCTATTTTTTTTTAAAACAGCTGTATAATTTTTTTATATCCCATTTTCTACTTTTACTTTACATTTTTTTTTCTTTTTATCATATTACTTACTACTATTATTACTCTTTTTCTACTCGAAAAATACACCCCTCATGAAATATTATATTTATATGTTTCATCGTACAAGAACATTATATTTACATGCAAAACATTCAATATCATCGTATGTATGTTAAGAATTTTGAAGTATATAAATTAAATTAATAATTTTTTGATATAGATTCTTAATTCTGATAAGAGATGTGATGAGTTAAAGTATTTTTTTTACTTTATTTTTATTTTTAATAAAATGTTAATATTTTATAAAAAAAATTGAAGTTAAATATTTTAAAGGTAATCTAGTTTGAAAATTGTATAATATTTTTGACAATCTTTTTATTAGATTTTTAGCTTAAAAAATCTATTTTAATATTTATATTGTAAAATATCGTAATTAAATGTTAAAGAATTAATATCGATGAACAAATATGTACAACAAGATAAAAATATTTATAATTACCTGCATAAACTATTATTTATTTCATATGCAAAAATTACACATTTTTTAACCTATTTCCCCCTACATTCCCTACACTGTCACAAAACTTTGAAGCCCTAATCCTTATAAATCATCTCACAAAATAGTATGTCGCCCTAAGCTCATAGCAATTCAAATATTATATTTAGATGCATAATCATAATTTATATTTGGTAGGCAATTGGTTGAATGTGACGCACGTTATTTTAATATGTTGTTGACATGTAAATACACAGTTTGAAGATTATTTAAGAGTTTATTTCGTAAATTGCATATTTTTCTTTTGTTAATGATCGTTGTTTTTCATTCTCAACAATTAATTTAAAATTCCTTCACAAATATGTGGCTACCAGCCTTCCACTACTTTGGTCCCAACTAAAATAGCAGTTCACTGAAAGGTACTAAACAACTATCAAGATGTTGTCTTTGACACTTCCAGTTATTGCCTTAAAATATATTATAACTGGTGCAAAAAAATATCTTTTTTCTTTATTATACCTCTATTAGTCCATGATAAAAATTTAACATTAGAAAAAAATTATTACAAAATATTGAGTGTTTAATCAATGACAACGACATATAACAGAATCATTTTAAAGCTTTTAAATGATGCGTAGACAATTTCAGTAGTAATTTTACACTTATGATCGAAGATGAACTTTACACAATCGTTTATGGAGTTACTTGAATATAAATATATACATGTTGAATCTCTTCTCTCATCTTCAACAATGGTAACACATGTCAAATATTTCACCTCTCTCACTTAAGCATTGTAGTCTTAGAACAATGCATTTATTGTTCAAAGTGACATCCAAAAACATAAATCTATATCAAAACAGTGTAACCACCGTCTGATGTACTACAACAAAACAACTTCAAAGCTATTCAAATGCTTTTTTTTTTTTAATGTCCATTTTTAAAATATATTAATCACTATTTTTTATGAGTTTAATTTTAATGTATTGTCAATATAAGATTTTTTTTATATTATCAACTAATTAAAATATATAATAGATATAATTTTAAAATAGTTATTACAAAAATAAAAAATTTCGTAAATATAATAATGCATACTTTACATGATAGTATAAACAAAAATTTACACTACTAATACATTCTAATTAATTTTTTTAATTATAATTGCATCTACTTGTTCTTAAATACTTTACACAATTGAGCTTTGTTGTCTTGAAATTATATATATAAAAAAACTTAACACACTTGTTGTAAATGCAAGAGACATAATAGTAAATATATATGGTATTAAGAAGTTGTTTTTTTACATAAATAAACATTTAATTATACGTATTTTTAATTTGTGCACTATGAATAGATAAAAATTTGGAGAGAAATTATTTTAAGCTTAATTACTATTATAATTTTTATACTTTAATTTATGTGTGATTTTGTTCATCTTGATTTTAATTTTTTGTATTTAATCTCTCTAGTTTCTTAATTGAAAGTTAAAATATTCATTCTAAAATTTCACCTAATATTAATAAAAATATAATAAATATGTAATATATCATTAATTTATGCAATTTTATCAAAAAAATAAAAATAAAATAACAATAATTTTTTATTATATTTTTATTTAATTTTTTATATTTTCCTTACTAGTTTATATAAATTAATAATATGTCACACTTCTATTATATTTTTATTAATAATTAGATAAAATTTTAAGATTAAAGACTTAATTTGAGTAATAAAAATTGAAAATAAATAAATATGATTAATTAAAAGTAAAAAGACTAAGGTATAGGGTTCGGAAGTAATTAAATATGCCTGAAAGCTATTATTAGAACAGTCATACAGTTTAATATTTAAGTGATTAAGATGAGTAAGAAATTAATACAACTGAAAATTTAACATGCTTTAATAAAATGTATTAAAACAATAATATATTCAACTACAGACTTTTATATATTAATTTAAGTTATTATTCTTAAAATTAAGTTTTTTTTTTCAATTTAGTGTCCTTTTTAATATTTCACGTGACTTTGGTTTTTTCTACTTTTTTAAATAATATTATTTAAATTTAGTGAGTCTAATATTACTTTTTCTAGTATAAAAATTTCCATGTCTATCATTATAATTTTTATATACTTTATTAAATAATAATTATTTCAAAATACTATTTTATAATTCATTCATTAATTTTAAAAGACTTTTTTTATATGATAAAATAAATCTATGTTTCAACAATAAGGACATTTCATATTATATTGAATTTTAAAGGTATAATTTATATTTATTTAATAATTATTTGTTATATGATTTATTAAATTTATATTGATAATTTTATCTAAATTTTAAAATAATCAGATATTAAATAAAAACTTGCTAGTTTTCATAATTTCAAACCCTTTTATTTATAATAAGTGAAACATAATAGTAATAAATATAAAGAATAAAAAACAATAAATTTATCATCATTGATATTAAATTCTCCTTTTTTCCTTTATATTTATGATCAAAATAAATTTCGTGAGTGTACAGTAATGGAGCCCATTATATTTGTGATTAAAAGCCCAAGTTCATGAGGTTAGCCCGTTGAGAAACTATCATTCCGCTGTTAAAACTCGACTCGACCCTTTCTGATCTATTTTTCTGTTTTCTGCTTTTCTTTCACCGAAACCCTTTTTCCTCTTCTTCCATTACCAGCCAACAGAGTCGGTGACAGAAAAGGAGCAACCTCGATTCCAATAAGGTGAATTCCGATGACGACCGCTGCACGACCTACATGGGCACCTGCTAAAGGTGGCAACGAACAAGGTGGTACTCGAATTTTCGGTCCCTCACAAAAATACTCGTCCAGGGACATTGCATCGCACACTACTCTCAAACCTAGGTATGGTTCACCCCCCAATTTTTGTCATATTTTACTCTGATTCTAGAATTCCTTGCGAATGAAGCATGACTCCTAGCTGTACCAGCGATGGGTTTTGTACCCATATTCATGAACATAGGCTGGGATTAATAGGGTAGCTGCTGATATAATCTAATATGTGGTTTATTTATTTAGTGCATCTTTATACCCCATGCTTAAATTTTAAAATAAATCTGGATCCTAATACATGTTTGAAATGATTTCATTTTACTTATTGACCTGTACAAGTGATTAAAGTTGCATGCTATAACCTTAGACCTCAGTATGCAGTTTTTCTTATGAAAGTGTATATTTCCTTGCTAATAATTGTATTTCTACCTTGCCAGAAAAGATGGGCAGGACACACAAGACGAATTAAAGAGAAGGAACCTACGTGATGAATTGGAAGACCGTGAACGGAGGCATTTCTCATCAAAAAATAAATCTTATAATGGTAAAAATATCAATGCGTAATGTTTTTCTAAGTTTTTGTTTGTGGCATTTGAATTGCATCATTCCTGTTAGATGGGGTTTCTTTGTAATTGCAATTTGTAACTTTTCAATCTATTTTATGTTCTGACAGATGACAGGGATCATGGAAAGGGTGGCCATCTGTTCTTGGAAGGTAGTCAATCTACTGATTAGAATGAATTTACCAACTTAAAATATTTTGTACATGGTCTTCCTTCTAAAAAGGCGGAGAAACCAAAAAAGGGGAGAGAAGCTGTAATGGTATTTCATATTCAGTATTCTAATTTTATGGGTCTTTTATCTTGGCAGGAACAAGGAGAGATATTGAAGACCACATTGTTGCACGAAGTGTCGATGCAGATGATTCTGATGTTGAAGTCAAAAGTGATGATGAGAGGTTGATAATTTGGCATGAACCTTATGTTCAACAGTATTAAATGTTTGTTTAATGTATATTTGGTGTACACATGCGATTTAATTGTATTGAACCCAATTTTTAAGAATATAACAATGAAAGTGAACAAGAATGTATACAATGTGAAGACTTGTAGTAATACATGCATACAAATATAGTTCAAAATTTTTATGTATACATATATAACATTTAGGATTTGGAAGCAATTAGGGCTTATTATTTTGTTGAGGCAATTTAAAATATATAGGCCATTCATATGCATACATCAGTTCATGTGCATCAACATTTGTGCTATTTTTGCCAGCAACTCCGCATAGTCTTTCAGTTGTTAATAGTAGTGTATACTACTAAAGTTTTGTATACTTTCTCAGTGATGATGACGAGGATGATGAGGATGACACTGAAGCATTACTGGCTGAGCTTGAACAAATAAAGAAGGAAAGAGCAGAGGAAAAGCTACGAAAGGTAAAGTTATTCCTCGTTTTACTCCTTAGCTTTGTTCCTGTCATGCCAGGGAAGCTGTCCAGATCCTGATCTTGAACTGCCTCTACATTTTATATATTTCTAGTATTATTGTTCATTTTTTTGGAAGGAAGGTGAGTGTAGGTGACTGGGGGATGGAGAGTGGGTGGATGCAGTGGCCTTTCTCCCATCCTTCTTTAATTCATTCGGATGTTGATATAAAACAGATAGTTGATGAGCCTGATTGGTGGCTGAGCCCATAACATCTCTATCCTTTTTCAGTAACTTATACCTTGGTTGCAAGTTGGTTTTGATGATAATTGTAAACAAATGTAAATTGCCCTCGTGTATGAAAAGAAATAACATGTAAATGTCTTTGTGCAGGAACGACAACAACAGGAGGAAGAGCTTAAAGTAAAAGAGGCTGAGCTTCTGCGAGGAAACCCATTGCTCAATAATTCAACGTCTTTCAATGTGAAAAGAAGGTTAGAATCTAGATATTTTTCTAACTGCCCGCTAAACCAAAACAATTTTTACACTTGAACCATGTTGGTTTGTTGTCATGATCTCTCTCATTCTTTGGGTTTTGCATACACTTTTTTTACTTAGGTGGGATGATGATGTGGTGTTTAAGAACCAAGCCCGTGGTGAAACCAAAGCTGCTAAGCGATTCATAAATGACACCATCAGGAATGATTTCCATAGGAAGTTCCTGCAAAAATACATGAAGTAAATCTGTGTCTGAAGTCTCGGTTGTTTGGAATCATCGGAACTTATTAATTTTCTGTTTGTATTTAAGTGTAAGATTCACCGTTGATGGATATATGATTTTCTTATAATGTATCTCGGCATGCTACTCATAGTTGCTGCTCTACGTTTGTTAATGCCACTTAGGTTTAAATATCTGGGTCACAATTAATCTTTAGGGTTTCCCAATCCGAACCTCTTGTCAGCGTACTTTCATGCATATATTTTATCTTTAGTTGGGTTGAAACCCGTCAGGTTTCAATCCATAAACATTCAACAAGGTTGTCTCACTCTTCCCCCTATATGATTTGTTGTTCTATATACCCTTTTCTTGTTGAACCGTTCGCGTAATTGGTCTAGTAGTTGGGTTGTCTCCAATTTACCTGGTGCATATATAGACATTGCGAGGAAATTAAGCCAGCCACTCGTTTGTTTGGTTGACCTTTATTTAAGGTTGTCAGCGTACTTTCATGCACATATCTTTAGTTGGGTTCAACCGTTTTAGGCCTTTTTGCCAAGATGGGGCAAGTTGAAAAATAAATTCTTAAAACCGGTTTAAAGAAAAAATAAATTCTCTATCTGTGGTAATTTTGTTGTGTGTCCCATAGTACGATACTTTGTGTTTTTAATCCGTAGATGATATTTATTTATTTATTTACTCTGATGTTCTGGTTTCTCGATCTTATGGGAAATAATAGCTGCAATTTTCATCTTTCAATCCGCATTTCCTTTTTCATGTGCCTTATTGCTTCACTTACATTGATGGCTCCTCTTTCCTACACCATCACACACTCCCAAACCCAAAAAATGAAAACATCTTCAATGACCCATAAACCTAAAACAATCTCAAAACCCAGAATTTAATCCCACCCTCTTCCCAAAATCCTTCCTTTTTGTGAACCCACCACCCCATATGCCCCAACACAACACACAATTCCCGTTTTCATCTTCACTATTTCTGCTTCTACCACCATTAATGGGTGTTGAGAAAAAATGGCTCTTCACCCTCTTCACTGCAGCATTCCTCTTCCTCATCAGTCTCATCCTCTCTTCCATCATCTCACCTATGCCTTCTTTTCCCTCTGTTTACTTGAATGCCCACCTGAATGCTGCGTATTTATTTATTTAATAATAAAATGATAAGTATTATCTTTAATGCAGATGATATTTATTAAAAAAAAACTTGAAGTGACGTGAAAAAAAATGACTGCATATAGGGGATGTTTTTATTTAAGCTTATTTTTTTTTAAAAAAAATTTGCCTCGTCTTAGCAAAAGAAAAAAAAAGCCACCGTTTTATCAGTACTTACTACTGCTGTGAACTTGTAAAGCCTCTGTTTTCTAGTATGGACATAGAGACGTTACAGATTAATTTTTCTAATTACATCACAAAGTGTTTTTTGTTCATTTTTAGTTTTCATGAAACTCAAGATTGTTAGTTTTTTCTAGTGTCTGTACAGCCATGTTCATTTCGTGAAGTGCAGGGCTTGCGGTGAATTATTGTGCCCTTTCGGCCTCCAATCGTCTCCCGTCATGCGCTTGTGTAATTATTATGTTTTCTAATGGTTTTTTTCCTCGCTGAATGAATGGATGCTCCATGTCATTTCACTAAATCTACTAACTATACGATTTAACACAGACAAGTTTTAATCTTTTAACATTTTTTAATGAAATTATCATGATTTCCAATTGAAATATAAATGTACTGTCTACGTATAACTATAGTATGAAAAATGCATGTTTGAATTCATAGTTTAATGTGCAGTAATTTATTATTATTTTAATGTTACTAGTTATAACTTTTATTCATGTTTATATGCTTTTTAATGAGTTTCTAAACAAACTAAAATTAAAAAGAAAAACATCTCCTTTTGCCATGACAAGAATATATACTTTTCAGCTTTCTTTGATAATCTTTGTAGGCTCGTAGAATCACTCGTCTCTAGCAATTTTGAGAGTTTATATTCTTGTAATATATTTGTACAAAATTGTTGGAATGTTTTTCATGTTTAGTTAACTGTTAAGCAAACAAAACCTTAATCACGCCGTAAAATTCCATTGGTCGGAAGGCAGAACTCATTTTCTTCGCTTGAACGTGTCGCAGGAAACCCAAATTTCACCTTTGTCCAACAATAACCGAAGGTACTCAGTCAAATGAGATAAAATATAATAAATTTTAAACAAAAAGCAAATTTAATGTTATGTGAAGAAACTTTAAAATGATAATTGTATTTTACCTCGGTAAAAGACCATATGAAACCAAATTTGAGACTCGAAGCACTAATGCATGTGGATCGAACTCTTTCTCATTCAATAATTGGGGTTCTTTTCGTTTTTCAATTGAAGTATGTTGCAATCGTTTTAGAGGAAAATGATGTGTCCAAATCAACTCATAATTCCTTTCATTGGAATTTTGGGCCTTTGTCTTTTTTTGGGTTTTGTCGTCCGAATAAGGAAAATTATAGAAAAATTTTACACAACATTACAATCAGAATTTTACACCAGTAAACCTGATGGGATAGGCTGACATAGTGGTGTAAGTTTTTAATGTATTTATTTAATATGAGGTCTTGTATTTTAACTCCACTATATGTAAACTTTTTTTTTTTTGGACCAAGAGCAGTCACAAACCACAAGTTAAGCCCTTTAAACTTGAGAACAGTCATTAATCTAGTACCTTTAAAAAAAATAAAATAAGTAGCACTTGATTTTGTTCAAGTTATTCTTTTAGTACATATGTCTTAGTAATTTAAGTGATTAAAATTATTAAGTCATTTAGCACTTTTTGTGTATGCTACGTTTGGTATGAAAAGTAGCTTAGGACACTACATTTTACTTGGAATCATTGATAAGGTTACTTGAAACTTTTTCCATGATCCTATCGTGTAATGGGCTACTAGAGAAATGGTTGATTTGATTACGATGGACGTTTGGGAATTAAGAAAAATGTTAATTTATTTTTATAAATATTGTTTTTAAATTTAAAAAGTGGATACTATAATCTTACATCCTATAGTAGCAAATTATATATTAAACAAAAACTTCTCTTCAGATTGGAAGAAATAAACATTTGGTGTTTGGGCCATAAATATTTGGAGGCTAGGATTTTGAGTTGGGAACATGAAAAAGTAAGTTCAAACTTGGGTTTTCTCGTTGACCAAAACAAAAAAAAAAGAACTGCTTTTTCTCCACAAAAAAGGGGACTAACGAATCAATAGTATTGTTAGTGCATGTTTTAGTATGTAACGAGGGGAGAGAGAGAGATTAATTGTAATTTTTTTAATTAGAAGTTTATTGGATGTATATCATTATTCTTTTTTAATTACAATATTATGCTATGTTCTTCATGTTATGCAATTAAAATATGCAGGAAAAGCACATGCAACAACTTGGCATTTTTATTCTACTTAGTTTGACTTGCCAGTAATAATAATAATCAAACTAAGAAGTGAAGATTTAAGTGCAATATTTAATTGTATATTACAATAACAAATTTAAATATGCATATTTTCACAATTTTTGTCCATATTAAGTTAAATATAAATGTACTTTATTATTTACTCAATCATAAACCCCGCAGTGTAAGATTCTAGTATTTAATTTCGTTTAAGATACGTAGATGACAAAGGTGCCTAGAATATACCAAAGAACAATCAAGTTTCTTTTTCTTTTAACCTTTCTCACACTCCTCTTGTGGGTTTGTGGAATCTTTTTCAGCTTTTAGTGCTAATGAAAGTGCCAATATCCATACTTTTGATATGTCTGTATCTAAATTCCATTGCAAGAGTGAGAATTGACAAGCAAAGCGAAAGTGTTCGATAAACTATAAGGAAAACTATTTAATTCCTTTTCTTATAGGACTTATTACAAGATATTGTTTTTTCCGTATCTTTACAAAGCTTATTAAAAAATATAAAATAAAATACGTGTACAACCTAACTTATCAATATCATTATCCTTTGACCGCTCATATATGTTCGTTGATTTATATTTTACTTAAATATTCTTTATGAAAATTTAATTTAAGGTTATTTTTTTAATTCAATTCTTATATTTTGTGAGTTCTTAGTTTTAATTTTTCTCATTAATATAATTGCACAAAAAAGTTATCACACTACAATTTCTTAATTACATCATAATTTAACAGTCATTAAGATTAAAAGTGTTGAATTCAAAAAAATTAAAATGAGTTAATCTATTTTACAAAATGGACTAAAAGCATGTTTAGATTTTTATATTTACTTACTTTCAACTCAGTATTTAGAATTAACGGATATCATCTAATATTCAGTTTCTATTCAACAAGAGGAGTGCTATTTTGTACAAAAACATACAGCACGAACACAGTAAAAATAATAAAAAAAGTACTTTTAAATTGTTTTCACAAGGAATTATATCAAGTGGACCAACTTTTTTGCGAATTCAAAGGTAGGAAACTACAAAGTGACCACGATAAAATTAGCCTAGGCATCTATATATAAGCTGTGAGCATAAAAAATTGTAATTATCTCATTTATTACATGGATTTTGATTTTACTTGTAACAATTGATCAGACACACTTTTTAATTGCATTATTAATATTTTTAAAATTTGAAAGATTATTATTTAATATTTCTTAATTTTACGTACAATGCATAGGTGATACGGTAGTGCATATAAGAAAGGCATACGAGGACGTTAACCTGGTAACAAATGGTAAATTAATTTGTTTAAGCTTAAGAAACTAATGGAAGAGACGCAAATAAGGGGAAGTTAATTAATATATACACAAAGATATTTCTGTTTTCTATCATTTTTAATAAAAAATAATAATAAAGATTGCTCCATTTGGAGGTCAACCATTGTGTTTGGGAAAGGTCAGAATGTATAGTATATGTCAAGTGTATGATAAAACGGGTATTTTAGTTGGGACCATCCCCAGTAAACAACTTGATAGCATGTGTCCACTATCTACTTATCTTCAACAATGACTCCATTATTATTAGTCATCGAGAAAATAAAAGAACCCAGAATCAGCGTAGACTTTTTCAACAACTGTTCATTACTCGCAAAAATTATTGTATGCAAGAAATTTGTCTCTTTCTTATACATTAAGATAACACAAAAATTTATAGATTTTTGCTTTCTTTAATTTGAATAAAGAAAGAAAAAAAGTGGACACTTCAACGAGACTATGCAATTTTAAGGAAAACTTCTTATGTACATTTTCTATGGGTTGCAGGTGTGAAGTTGGTAAGCTAAACGCAAGTCAATTATAGCCACTTAATAACAAGTATATATGCAAGTACGTACTGTGAATTCATAAATTAATGTAAGCACGAAAATAC